ATATATATATATATATATATATATATATATATATATATATATATATATATATATATTCCCTTCTTCTGCTGTCTGGCTTTCCTGGATCAGAATCTTGCAATGTGTTTCTCGTATCTCACTATACTTCCCCCTCTATGCTTTATTTGTTTGATTAACTGGCGTTGGCTGTTTGGATGCAGATATGGAGTCAAAGCGTAGAAATGTCAGATGCAGATGTTACACGTAGTCAAACAGGCAATAGTACTTTGCTCAAATTTTCTTTCTTTCTGGCTTAATTATCCCCGTGGATACTCATCATCATACTTGCACCGTCTGATACTTGCAATCTGACGTGGCACATAGCCACTCCCTACATCGATTTGCAGTCCCCCGGTGTCTCAACACAGCCTTCCTATCGAGAGGGGTAGGAGAGATGACTCTAACTCTACTTATAGAGCACTGACCACCCAATCTGACGTGACCAGATCCTGACACACTGCATTCGGACCACCTAGACTCTGATGACGTAGACTCTGACACGTTATGGTGATCCAGATCCAGACTCGACTCCAGACCAGCAGCAGTCACCTTCAGAGGGGAAGAGAGAGAGAAGGTAGGGGACACACGCATGCATGCAGGTCAAGGGGCATGAGGTGCTTCTCTCTTGTTGAAGAACCTTCGATGTGCTCCTCGTCGCGCAGCACGCTCCAGGTAAGTATCATAAGCCCCTTCTTCTTCGGCCTGCTCCCACTACTAACAAACTCTTCTTCTTCTCCCTTCCTCCTACTAGTCCTCCATCACCACTCTTCGGGGCTTCTCCTCGCCGGCCTTGATCATGCCAGCGCTATGAGTGCAACGAGCTTGGCTCCGATACCAAATTTTGCATGGGTCCTGGATACCAACTCACGCAAGAGTGTTCACGGCATGCATCATCTCCATACACAACGAATAGAAATCCTCACACACTTGTCAAAGAGGTAAGAAGAGAACCAAGTTGTGCAGCTTATATTATCAAAAATATGATTACAAAGAGTGTCATAGTTCCCTGAGTTCAAGCGCTTATCAGCGCAATATGAAACTCTCATCCAACTCATCAATGTGACTTCTACACATCAGCGCCACCTCTGCAGATCATATCCAACCCAGGTAAGTAATCACCATAGCCGAACCTTTCTTGCACACTCTCTGTCTCAGTTCCTTCTTCCTACTACGCATGCACACTCTCTTCTCTCAAGGATCTACTCTGAATGCTACTCATACTAACCCTCTTAAGTCTAATACTAACTCGCTGGGCAGCTATGGCTGCTTCTTTTCCTAGCACCCAGTCTTCTTCCCTCTCCTAGCGCATCTTCACCCTCCAGCGCTGCTCCTCCTGGCTGGCGCACAAGTGCTTCAGCACTTCCACGCATAGAATGCCAGCACAGATCTAGCGTTGAAGGAGGCTGGCTGCTTCCTTTATAGCGCTGGCCTCTTCACGTTGGGTCTGCATTGGCTCATTCAGGCCTTCCTGTGGCCCAGACCCTGCATTGCATGTGTCCCAGTACTGTCCCAATGAGGTCTGCTGCTGCTGAGGCCCTTTGGCGTGGATTTGGACTTGGACGTCTGGATCTGGACTGTTTCTCAAACTTAGACCAGAACTGGGACTCTGTTTATTGACTTACTTTTGAACAGACACAACTTGGGACGAACAGACACACTTACTGCCTGAACAGACATCTATATTGCGTGAATAGACACACTCCCTTTGCACGAACAGACAAACTGACTGCACGTATAGACACACCCCTATCTGAACAGACATGACATGTGCATCCCCTGGCGAACAGGTATGACCTTTGGCACTGACTTCTTGCTTTAGTTTAGATGTGCCCTTTGACCAAAGAACTTGACCTTTGATCTGTTTTCACGTTTCCTGGGTCCTGGCGAGATACCCCTTCACGCAGCTTTACTTTCACAAGGCCTGAATCGGGTAAAGGCCCTTTTATCCAGGTGCAATCAGACTCGTCTTCTTCTTACTTAGCATGCATGAAAACTGATGGCAATTGCACTGGCGACGAGCGCCCACACAAAGCCCAGAGATATTGTGGCCAAGAACACAGTTCAGATTCAAATTGCTTCGAATGGCTATGGCGCTTGTGCGCCCTCACAACACCCTTCCACGCTGTATCCTCAGCAACTGTTCACACACACGCTACTTTGGATCTCCCTGGATGTCCCACACACACACACAGCTCACTGCATACTCATACACAAACACGCTGTAGTGTTACGGACCCATCCAGGGCTCGATCCATTGTCCGCGGGTTACCACCTGCCAGGCTGCTATTTCATTTTTTTTTGAGTCTCTGTTCTCTGGTGCGTGACTGTTGGCGCCCTCTGCATCTGGCGCCCGTTCTCAAATCCCGCCTCTGGCACTTTCGGATTTCGATACTTGGCGCCATCCGACATTCTGGTGCACAAGCTCAGACCTTCGATTTTCAGTTTAGCCCCAAGGCAAATTGCACTTCTGCCCTCCGAACTCCACTTGAGTCCGGTACTTAAGACCGGAATCCAAGATTGCGACTTGTGTTCGGAATCCAAGATTGCGACTTGGAGACTTTGCGACTTCGCCACTTTGTGTCTGCATCCATCGAGTCGTGTCGAGTCCGTGCCGAGTTGAGTGAGTGTGTGTGTGTGCTCTCACTCCCTCCCTCTCTCTTCCCCGACCTCGCTGCTCTGCCTCAGCCCCGTCACATGTAGCCTATCTCTAACGGAGCGCAGCTATGGCTGCTGGCTAACTCTAACACTAACTAGAGGCTATGGCTGCTTCGTCTCCCTCTCAGTCCACTTCGTCCTCGGGCACCTGCAGACCTCCTTGCACAAGTCGCTCAGGCAGCGCTGCCGCACGACTCAAAATCTGAATGAATGAATAACTGGACGCTGCCTCTTGATTTATACTTCAGTTGGTCGCTGGTCTGCTCCTTTCCATCGGGCCTAGGATGCACACAGTCCCACATGGTACTTGCTGACTGGACAAAGTGCGACTGGGACTGGGCACCGCTGACTGGACCTGGTAAGTCTCCTCACTTGCCCACTTGCCCACTTGCCTACAGACTGCTTTTGAGACTCTCGAAGGGGCATTCCTAGAAGACTCCAGACCTTCCTACTTGCCCTTTTGGTACTGTAGGAGCTACGACTAAGATTGACCCCTCAGACCTACAGCAGCTATGACCAGACATAAGCTATGACTCCTACCGTACAGGTAAGCAGCTGGAACCTACTCAACCCTCGTATGTACGACAACCTTAGACAAACAACTTCAGGGGCAGGTCAAGGTTTCAAACCTAGATGGGGCAAACTATATTGTACACGAGTTCGGGGCAGGTCCAGGGATCGAGCCCTAGGATATGCATCTGCTGCCACGAAGGTGAAAACCGTTTCACTCTCGCCGGCCTAAATTCGAGGTCTCCGAGAATACTTCAGTCCAAGGCAGGACCTTTACCTTTCTTATCTCTCTCATAGGCGCGGATTACATCGGGAGCAGTCTCTAGAAGCTCGTTTCGGGTAAACCAGCGGTCGTCTTCCGGTTCTTGATAAGAAAATCTGACTTTGTATTGTTTCTGTGGACGACCTCTACCTCCTGTTCTGAATACATCCTCACCTACTATGCGATCAATGTCGTACCTTCCGTCCATATCCGGAGGGATCATGGACCTCCGCGATGGGTACTGCTGACAAGGCAACAACTTTGACGCATGAAAAACTGGGTAGGTGTAGAGGTGTGTTGGAATCTCTATTGTGTAGGACGGTCCATCCTCTCCGCCTTTAACTTCTAGGACTGGCCACGGTCCTGTATAAGCAGGTAACAGTTTCTGTGAGATCTTCTCCTTAGGAGCAAACTTTTTAGACTTGACCCAGACTAGGTCGCCTACTTGGAACTGCGTCGGGCGACGATTTTGTTGGCTTGTTCTATCATCTTATGGTAGCAATCTCTTTCTCGTGTTGTAGTGCAAACTCCCTAGTACCGGGCGGTAGTCTCTGGATCTTATCCCGGCTTAGTCCCTCAAACAGTCTACGCGGTCTAAAGGACTTACGCAATTCGTTGGGTGACCGTCAGGTTGCTAAATGCACGTTGTTGTTGTATGCACTGGCTCCCTTTGGAAGCATCTCATCCCAGTTGACTTGATTGGGTGTAATGTACATTCTAAGAACTTGTTGCAGGATCTTGCTCATCTATTTGGTCTGGCCGTTAGTCTCTGGATGGCGACCAGATGACATCAACAACTTAGAGTCGTAGACTCTGATCAGTTTTTGCCAGTTCTGACTAGTGAACCTGGTGTCTCGTTCACTAACTATAGCCAGCGGTAGACCATGCTCACTGACCCAATGATCAAAGAACTTCTCTATTACGAAATTTGTG